CCCTATGAAGCGGTATATAAGTCTAATAAATAAATAAATAAATAATCACTATCGGAAAAATATGTTGTCTTTAAGAAACATTAAGGGTAAGTCATGGTTGTTAAATAAGCTGGTTTACATGTTTATACAGTGGTGAGATAAACTTTATGAACTATCAATCCATACTTCTGCAGCATTATAACAAAATATGAATTCATTAAGCAGCTGAGAAGAATATTTGCGTTACAATCCTATATTGCGTTTATACAACTCTTACTGATTGTAAAATTCCTATGGAATCCTGTGAATTGTAGTTTGGGGTGAGCAGTGAAAGGCTGTGAGACCCCTAATTGATTTATAGATAATCGGTTTTGAGGATTGCTTGAGAAATCAATTTTCAAGCACCTTTTTGTACAGTTGTAGATATTATGCTTACTTTTTAATGATTCATTTAGTGATGGTTGGAAGTTACAGTGACACTAATAATCAAGTGACTTACGGTAGGCCCTTGTATAGGGGGGTGTCAAACTCACAGCATCACATTTTCACATGATGTATTGTGACTGTTTTTCCCTTCACTAAACCAGGGATGGGCGTGGCCAGCACCTGACGCATCTGGCCTGCGGGGTGCGAGTTTGACACCCCTGTTGTACAGCATCCCCGCTGTTGCATGATCAAAATTTGGATGCTTGACAACTGGCTTGCATTTACCACAGTCACGAGATCATCATTGGTGACTTTCCCAGCCAGCTTCTGACAAGCAAAGTCAATGGAGCAGGTTGGGTTGATTTAACATCTGCACAGTTCACTTAACAATTGCAGTGTTCGCTTAACAACCGTGACAAGAAAGGCGGTAAAATTGGGTGCAACTCACACTGCCTTGCTTAGCAATGGAAATTTTGGGCTCAAATGTAGGTGTAAGTTGAGGACTATCTGCATGGCCAAGGACCCTCAGAAGATTGCTTTAAAGTGAGGCATACAAAACTATAATATAAATAAAACATCATTTTATAAATGTATTAGCGTCATCTCTTAGATCCGCAAAACTTACACCAGTAGTCCTCGACATACAACCACAACTGAGCCCAAAATTTCTGTGGCTAAAT